AAGAAAAAGGAAAAGGAAAATCGTCGTTTAACTGGATCATCTGTACGCGATTTTTGGACCAAAATATAAGGAAGGTGAAGAAAACCTAAGCGAAAGCGGCGAATCGAAGTTTAACCGGGTTCTGTATTATGGGTCGGGTCACTGTACCGTACAGTTCGGTAATTTGGTATGGAGTTTGGCTCGTCAAGCTTACGCAGACTACTAAGTACTAACACGTTTTCTTTGACGACCCTACGTTGTAAAACTAATGGAAAATTGCAATTTACCCCTTTTAACTTGCTCTTTTTCTTTTGGGAAAATTACGAGCAGCCCCCTAGTTTATGGTCAAATTATGAAAACCATCCTTCTGTTTGGATAATCACAGTCACCCTCAACTATGTATTATCTTACAAAAATACCCCTCCAAAAGTAAATTTAGAGATGTTAAATCAGTAAAACTGAACCGAAATTTTGGTACGCCAATATATCATACCGTTTACCGAACTGAATATAAGATTTGGTTTGATAAATAAAAGAATTACATAAATTTTATGTAAAAATATTTAAAAGAAGGAGTGGCTGTAATAAACCTAACAATAAGAGTTTTTTCGTAATTCGATCATACCTCAGGGGATGGCCATAATTTTGCCTTTTTCTTTTTAACAACAATCAAGCTACTCGACATCAATTCGTGTTGGACTCGATTTAAAATTCGTTTAAAATTGCAATTGGCAATTTTACGAAGCAATAAATAACTAAGAAAATTAAAAGTCGATGCAAATTCTTTTTTTAGGGGACCAAATAGAAGTTTCTAGAATTGAAAATGTGGACTTACAAGTACCCGGGTCCACCCAATATGTGGAGCTTCTTACAACCAATCATTAACCATGGACCACCTTGGTTGTAATAAAACGATCACATTTGCAGTTGGAAATTTATTTGTACAATACAACTAAGACGTTAAGTATCTTTTCAGTTTTACTAACATCGTTTAGACTTTGAATTTTTTTTTTTTTTTTTTTTTTTTACCAATTTCTAGTTTTGATTTTGGTAGAATTCAAAATACAAAAATTGTAGCCCTTTGATTTATCTTCTGAAACCAACTTGAATTAGTTAGATTAGATGTTATGTGACAAAATTATGCATTAAAGTTTGATTAAAAAATTAACTCAAAGAACTACAAATTTTATATTCAAACTAAAAAATCGTCAAAATCACATTTACAATTGAAACGATATTCGTAAAACTAAAGTGACATTTATCACATCACCAGTACCAAATTTGTACTTCATATTTTCGAAGGGCATAATTTCTACCTAGTGGTACTTTTCTTATAATTTAGGGGTAGAATTGTAATTTCAGCACACCCTTATCACATAAAAAAGGCTTCGCATTTGAATTCAGGCCTAGGCTTGATTTAATTGAGCCCATATCTTCTTTATTTTATTAGCCCAAATAAGATGGCAAAGCCCATGAACGGATTATCCCGTTGAATTTCCACGTCAGCATTACAGCACAATTATAAATTAAATGAAATCACACATGGTTTTGACTTTCACTACTATCTATAGTAATCCTTTTTGCCAACAGTTTCATGATTATCCACATTTCCACGTCCGCATTCTCTAGAATTTCCGATTTACAGTTTTAACCGCCACGTGTCGGTCATCCACCCACGGAAAAAAACAAAAACATCAAATAAGCCCCCGGTTTTCTTCACACCCCGTCACTTTCCCAGCCGGTTGTTTTCCCAAAATCCATAAAAAAATAAATATATTAATTAAATATCTTCTCCCTATAAATTGCACCCCTTTGGCCCCCCCATCACATCAAAAATTCAAAAATCGCCAGAAGAAAAAATAAAATAAAAAAATCATTTCAATTATTTCACAATTCGATATTCTACTTCCATTTCAATTCGATTGATCGTTTGAATTAGGGTTTCTGTACTGATTACGTATGAGCGTGAAGTGTATTACCAGGGTGGCGTACCAGGCGGCGATGAGGGCGGTGCAGGGGATCAAAGACCAGGCGTCGAAGTGCGATTCTCATTCCGCCTCCGCCGTCAAATCCTTCAAGGATTCCAGTTACGCTCCGTCGTCTTCGAGGATGTTTTCCGGTGGCATGATCGACTCCACCACGGCGGCGTCGTACAAGGCTGCTGCTCAGACCGCCGACAAGTTAAACACTCGTGAAGAGTCTCTCCGGACGGTCATGTACCTGAGCTGCTGGGTCCCAATGATG